GGGCTACACACACAATCACACAAGGTGCACCTCACTTCAGAACAGACAGAACTTAAATGTGTTTTGGCTGCATTCACGGAAAATCCTTCCCACAGAAACAATCACAAAATAACCTTTTAATTTTCCGACTCACTTTGTTTTTGCTGATGCCACACTCTCTCCTCACTCACCCTCTTGCTCTCTCACTCTCACTCACACGGACCTCAACCATCCCCCACCCCAGCCTCATCCTGTTTATATGGGGGGCCCCCACATTGAATGGGCAGTGTAAAAGGGACTACTGAAAGAGATATCACACCATCTGTAAATTTGTTTAGAAATCACATAAAAATATGTTCATTATAACTTCAGATCTTGCCTTATCAAACACAGTTCACCAGCCATGGCAATCCACATTGCTGATTATCCAAAATGTTAACAGTATTTTAGCTAAAGACAAAGGGATCCAGTGTAGCCCCCAGCTAATTAGACTACAAGGCAACAATAAATGTCTTGTTTGAGTGACAGGAGCTCTATATATTAATCTCCAGTGAAAATAATGGAAAACACAGAGAAACAAAATGTGAAGAAATTTGGTTTTCACTATGTGTTCCACACCATCCAACATCCGGTAACATAACTTCGAATGAATGTATGGTTCTGATGTGATGCTACTGAAGAACACAATTTGTCTCTGTCTTCTAAGATAGTTTAAAATGACTGCAGGAAAAATAAATTAATTTTCTGATATAATAATGCTATGAGCTTTGGATAGGTTTAGGAACAAAACCTTTGGTTTGGTTTAGGGAACAATTAAGGTTATCATCATAGGTACAGGTATTAAGTATTAGGCTGAGGTTATGGAACGATTGTGATCATGTTTAACTCCAGTGTTAAAGTCCAATGTTTTGTTGAACAAATTGAACTTTTTTCTATAAAAACTTTCTTACATGTTTACCACTGATGAGGTACAGGATGGCAGCCTAAATAACAATATATTCCATGCCTTTTTTTATGACATAAGCCTAAGTGGAAGGAACAAATGCAACCAAGGTTTTAAAGGGTTAATCAGTGCTTGTTTGCTGTAAATGGTTAATGAACGTGACTGAAAGTCAACCACGGGTTCACTTTGGTGTTGCTCACCAGAAGTTAACTTCTGGTTCTGTAAACAAGCATTAGAGAAAACTAGGACATGCCACTATTGCACAATCATTTATGTACATTTATGAATATCTCTAGTAACTGTATCATTTTCTCCCTTTGTATTTGTACTATACTTTTTGTTTCCTTTCATTTTCTCAATAGAGTTCTGAATTAATTTGTATTAGATAATTATGGCAATTCATGCTGTCACATAAACTGACTCTAGCCAATACATGTGGAAATAAATGAATGAACCACCTAGAGAATATGCCTGTCACTTATTAAAATCAGAGTGTGTGCAGTAACATACCTGTAAATTTTTACAAATCTGTCTAAAAACCTTAGGTCCATAGATATCGACAAAAAAAGGGAGTCTGAATGCTAAACTCAAGATAAGCAGCCAGTGGAGTGTAGTTCAGATCCAGATGTGGTGAATTAAATCCTCCTGTTGCATCCAGGAATTTGACTGCGCTAGCTCATAAATCAGCATGACCTACACCCACAACAGACACTGCACAGAATTGCTTCGCTGTTTGCTGCTACCTCTTTTTAGCTTTTATACAGTGACTCCACATACACACACACAGAGCCAGAAAACACCCAGGGACGTTCTTGCACACAAGCAGCAAACAACGGACAGGTTTGTTCATATTTCAGCCTCAGAGTCTGAAATCAAAAATGTATGGTCTCAGTTACCAACACCGCAACTAATGAATCAACAATATTCAGCTTCACTTTTACTGGCCAAGTATGTTACACACACAAGGTATTTGTTTCTGGTACAGTAAGTTAAAACTTGTGCCTAAACCAAAAAATACCTCAAGTTCATAACAAGCAATAATGTTACAAGGGAACAAATCATGCGCTTAACATTAGCCATCATAACAAAACAATGCATCTGTTGTTGTGGCGGAGTGCGAAGGCTTCAGTGATTTTGCCAGGGCCCTGGTTCTCTTAGTGTTTACATCAGTGCCAGGGCACTGGGTCAAGAGTCAGAGTAATGTCAGCTCTGTTAGGTTCACAGTCACTCTCTATTCCTATTGTTTGAGTCTCCACACGAGGACTTTCATGAATTAAAAAATAAATAAATAATATAAACGATCCATTGAAGTATTGCTAATGTTTCACTTGGCTAATGCCAACTGACAAAACACTGCACTCTGGCTAACAGGAAGTGAAAGTAAGGTCAGAAGTTCAATGGGTGCTGCTCCCATTGGCTGACACAGATCACATGTGTTTGTTGTGTTTATATTTTTGTTTCATTAATGTATTTTTTTAATCCTAAATTGTTTTCTTCACACATTAAAAATGAAACATTCTAAATAATCCACATAAATTTTCGAGAGTATCTGGTTGCAGACAATATGGTGGACTCCCAACCTCAGGAGGAAGCTGGCAATATTAGTTAGACATACTTCAGCTTGGTGTGTGAACAGTTGGTTTATAGTTGGGGTTAGTGTTAGTGCTTATGGTTAGAGTATGATTAGAGGCTAGGCTTAATGTTAGGGCTCTTTCAGACTCTACACAAGCTATGCAGCCATGAGCGCTTCCAGCTATGCAAGGAGGGTTTAGAATGTATTTGCATAGCAAAATGTGTCATCTAAACCTTTGTAACACAACACAATCACAAGTGTTAATGCATTTCTGACAGGGGCACTAATGCAAATACTGTATTTTGTACTTTATGTTTTTTTGGTCTCTCTTCCTGAAAAACATAGATAAAAAGTATAAGAACAATATTTGACTGAGTCACCATTAACAGGTACTTGTAAAGCCTGTTGAAATAACACCATGTCATGGATTCACATCAAATTAATCATAATCATAAATTAGCTTCAAGGGACTTAACAATCTGTACAACGTAGTCGGGCCTTCAAATCAGATAAGGAAAAACTCCCCCCCCCAAAAAATGTGGAATATGCTGAATATTAATGACAAATATGGAAGAAACCTTAGGAAAAGCAACAGAGGAGGGCTTTCTCTTCCTCTTCCTGACATGCAAAAAAAAAAAAAAAAACTAGTAATGAAAACTGTGAATTATTATTGGCATTTTGAACAGTAAAACCAAATATATTGTTAGTTGTGGAATTTTTCTTGTAAATATGTTTTACATAGTAGAACAAAAGCAAAAATATTTTTAGCAGCTCTTTTTGCATAAAGTGTTTACAGAATACATTGAAAAAGAACTTTCATAAAATGAGTGCAAGTCTGTTACAAAAATGCATTTGCAAGCATGTATTTTTTATGTGTAACATGAAACATTTCATGAGCCTTTTTATTAATATGTCATGTAAACACCTGACAAAAAATAAGCTACCACATTTTTACACTATATATTTGAATTATCATGTTATGTACACTTTCTTTGCATATTTTTAAAAATCTTTCACAATCTCAGAAATCACTAAAAGAATACATCTGTTCTCTTTACAGAGGCATGTACAGTATTTACATACATTCATGGGCTCACATATGACATGCCATTCAGAAATGTGTTTCTTCTGATTTTACGGAAGGAATGGAAGGCTTGACAGAGTTAATACTCATCCCCCATACAGCGTCAGGTGCACCGAATAACCCAAGGGTTAGTCAATTCATGTAGGTGTAAGTTATCAAACATTTCCAAAAACCATTTCATTTCAATACTTCACATTCTTTCTTTGAACAATTACAGTACTGACTGTTGTCAACTGATCATTGTCCTTTTGGCACAGGAAACCTTCTCTAAACTCTGTGCAGCAGGCATTTGGGTCCCTCCCATGACTCATTTGGTTTATTTCAACTGAGATGCAGATCAGTCCATACTGTACATATAAAAAGACAAAAAGTCACTGTTCCCTTACAGTACAAGACAAAGGCATCTCATTTTATGGCTGAAGATCTGGTATGATCTATGACAAAGGACAGCTAATACTGATTTTTGGATGCATTTTAATTTTATATTAACTTCTGAAGGACATGCTGTAACAAGTCATGACAGGGTAAGATCTAAATAAAGAAAAATGATTAATAAAGACTCCCTATGGATGTTATTTGATGCTGTAATGGCACACAATCATTGTCTCAACAAATGGGTAACAGGTACAACAAAGTTCAAATGAAAAGCTTAGTTCATAAGCAATAAGACTCCTTTTCTAAATTCAGTACATGCAGGTGGTATAACCAGTAGCTTTTGGTGGCCACTGTCAGCCAGCTGTTTGCTGACTTCATGACTCTTCACTATTTCTGCTACTTTTATGCAATGTTTCAACATTCACTGTTAACCTTTATTTGGCTTTTGTGGCAACACTGGCACCTGTCCAGCTAAAGCTACACAGTCTTAGTTTGATGCATTTATCTTGATAGTCTAGGGTTAATTTGTTTTCTTAATAGCACACCAGAAATGCAAAAGATACATCTTTTCATTTCATGTATAAAATGTCAAGTGTGTTGAAATACTTCTGTCTTGATTTGTCAGGACAAAAGGCAAGAGCTTTGGTACTTCAAGGCCAGTGTGCATCAGTGTGTTAGACTGATCCACGCTGATAGCAGCCTTTCCTTGTGCCTCTTAGCAATGCAAATTTACCATTTTGTATTCTTTTCCATATTTTTGACAGTAGTGACATAAAGTAATACATGATATGGCATCACATAACAACACAAAACCAGGAAACAACATAAGACAGAACAACTGAAATGCTTCTGTGAATAGTTGTTTTCGAGGTTGAGGCAGAAGGCCGCCCACCAAGAGCCGGGGTCTGTCAGAGGTTTCTTCCATTAAAGGGAGTTTTTCCTCCCCACTGTCGCCAAGTGCTTGCAAGGGGGATTTGTTGGGTTTTCCCTTTGTAATAATAGTGATAACAGTAAGGTCTAGACCTTACTTTGTAAAGTGTCCTGAGATGACTTTTGTTGTAATTTGGCGCTATACAAATAAAATTTGATTTGATTTGATTTGTTTTCAACTTCGGATTCAAGCATTTTGCAGATAATCACTGCACCCCAATTTGTTTTGCTCCAAGATGGCTGTAAAAATGCTAACTCTTCTGATAAAGCCTTTTAACCAAATGATCCCAAAAGGCATTATAGAACAAGCAGTCAAGTGAGGCCATAATACAACTACAAAAAAATACTTGAAATAATCATTAAGGAAAGAAACCAGATGTTTCATGTGGGCCAGGGCATATTACATAGTGCCACGGTCTTTCTTGGTGAGCGGTAAATCAAGCTGAACCTTCTTCATGTGTTTGAGGTGTTTTTCTGCAGCAACACTCAAAAGCAACAAAGAGACTGATTCAAGAGTAAAGGAATGTTGATGCATCATTTACTCTGCCATCAAGAGGCTCCAGTACTTCCCAGTTCTTCCAGTAAGCTCTCACTGCTGGCAACAAATTAAATTCAAGCATTAAGTGATGGGTCTTTGCTAATAATACTTCAAAACATTTGGCTCTGGGAAGAGAAACAACTGGGGGGTCTAAACAGTAGCAGACCCCTGAGTATGCCAACCTGTTTTGGTATAAGGCTTTTGACTCGAGCATTTTCAATAACGCACCTTAAAATGTAAAAATAGTCTGAATAGCAAATCTTTCTTCAAATTAGATTAACTAAAGTGAAACAAATAAACTTTGCAATATACAAGAAGCTTATTCCACCTGTGACGGTGTTATGTCAAGTAACCACTTTCTGTCTTTTCCTCACCACCCAATAAATTATCACAGTACCGTCAATGCACATCACGTACATATTTGAACATAAACACATACAAGAGCATAAAGAGTACTGAGCAAACTCATTTAAAGGGTGTTTGGACCTTCACCCCTTCCCTCGGCCTTTTGTCTTGCACACACGCTCACTCACACACACACACACACACACACACACACACCCACAGCCCTCCTCCTCTATCTGCTACCGTCAGTCTGTCAGAGTGAGTCAGAGGGGTCAGTTTGCAGAGCGCCCCATCCTGCTGCTTCTTGGAAAGCGGTGGACTTTGAGGTGTTTCGACAGGTGATCACTGCGGGCAAACTTCTTCTCACACACAATGCACTGGTATGGTTTTACTCCGGAGTGGGATCGACGATGTCGGGACAGCTCATCTGACCGGGAGAACCTGCCGGAAGGAAACCCCAGGATGTGATTTATGAAATCTGTGGTGTTTTTCTTGTCATTAAGCATCTTTACAACAATAATTCCCCGCTCATTACTTCCTTTTCTTGTGTTTAGTCCCCCAGTCACAGTTGTCAGTCAACTGACTTCATGACTCTTGGTTGTAAAAGCCTGAAATTTCAAATGAAAAATACATTATTTCTTTGCCAGATTAAAATACTCCCACTTATGTTTGTACGAATTGCTTCCTGTATATATAGTCATGCCTCAAACTGTCAAATACCATTAAATAAATGTGAAGTCGTTTGATATAAGGGGAATCTGAAAGTGTGACACTGCACATTGGTTTCACCCTGTGTCTTCCCTGTTAAGTTAAAACGCCATCCCATATATGAGCACAGCAGAACCCAGCCCAGTCTATTTCTGGCCTGTTCTACTCTGGGCTCTATGGGCTGCAACCAGCTTGGATATCATGACAATAAAGGTTTAAGTGGTTGATAAAGTAGTGTTGTATATGTGTGTGTCTCTTAGTGTATCTATGTATATTAGTAAAGTTGTTAAGATCAGATTAATCTATGACACAGATTGATTTCCCAGCAGCAGCAACAGCAGGCTGAAGGCGATAATTCATAAAAAGGCAAAATTGTCACTGAGAGTTATTTCAGGCCATTTCCATTGTAAACATGGATTAAACAATTGGCCTGTTCATCATTTTAATGGCCCGGGAATAAAAAGAAGATAACTGGCACATCTTAAACTGTGAGATTTCAGAAGACAAGAACCTCCAAACGATCAGACCTGAGGATTCATCTGGTTAAGTGTGTGGTAGCAACATCTTTTTAACTTGCATCTCTGGAGTGAAGGTTTATTCAGCTAATAGTGAGATAGACAAAGAACACACAGCTTTTGTTCAACGCAGTGTTTACCCAAGGAGTTTTTCTGCAGCAGGATAACAGCAGGATTAACTAGTACTGTAAGCACTTGGTTTGACTTGTGACAGTCATCTACTGTTCTAATTCTATTGTCTTTGTCAAAGATGTTTACTGAGGAAAAGACTTTCCACCAGTAGGTTTACCTTACTTATTTATTTAGGGGGTGTGTGGATAGGGTACCTGTCATTTCACACTACTACCTCCTGTCTAGCCGCAGCTTGTCTCATGTATTATGTACACTCACGTTACAGAGAACTCCTCTATTATCCTGGGGAACTAATCCATGCCAACTGTTTAAACCTGTACCGTAATTTGACAATGCTTGCCTACATTGTGAACATATTTCCTCAATTCTCATGGACTCTTCTGTGAATGAAGAATCAAAATTATTATTGTCTTGGGCAGGAAAAATATGATTTTCATCCATTTCTCAGCTATGATTATTCTTTTCCCTTGAATAAAGGTGGTGACAGGAAATGACGTTGTCGCTCTCGCTTTGAGTGAATGTGGCTCAGCTTTCACAAAAAAGCAAGGAAGATGACATCATTTCCTGTCACCATCTTTACTTAACTGAAGAGAAATTGTTTTACCCAAGAAACTGACAGAAATAATATTTTTCTTCATCAATCTTTAAGTTCCACCCAGTGCTATTCTAACTTGTGTTAGGCCTCTCTGCTCTATCTGCTCCAGGGCTGGTGGTGAGGTTGCTCAGTTTAACTCTAAGGGTGGAGGGTACTTCTCTTTTTTACTCGAGGACTGTGCACCTTAAGTGCTTGGGGCAGTTTGGCGTGGCTGCAGTAACTCACATAGTATACATATTAGTGTGGGTGCTGTGGGAAATACATAAGCAGGTTTTGTTCTAGCTTGTCCCTAAACACAGCTTTGTAGCTACAATAAAACAACTAAAAAAAGTGGGGCAGTCAGGTCGGTTAGTTTCTCCTGTCAACTGAAAGCAATTTGTGTCTCCCGTCTTTATGAATGGCTCAATTTCAACTGTTTGCAAGTTCAAAGAAAAATCACATTAAAGTATGACTGCACTAATAAGTGGCAGAAGGTTGCCTCCTGCACACAAAGCTACAGTATAGACCACAAGCTATAAAAATGATTTTGACTGGTTTTCCAAAATAGGATTTTTGAAAACCAAAAAAGGCCGATTCAGTTTATCATTTTGTTCTTTAGCAGGATGCTGAATCTTTTCTAACTCCACAGAGGCTGTTTTCTTGAACTCAACCTCGTTGACCTCCCTGGAGAGGCCAAGGGACTCGGTTTCCCAGGAGGCTCAATAATATGTCATAACTGACAGATCGGTATGCACTCTCTCTTTTTTTCCCTGTTGAGCTCTAAGTGTCCAAATCTGAAGAAAATCACACTGTGGCAGCTCTCTCAACACCCAACAACACTTTTTAAAAATGACTGTATCTGCTGAAGAGGACAGTAAGCCTTATGACAGCTGTTAAGTCAAGACAACATCACAGTGTTTTTATAGCAGGATTTGAGCCCAGCTGTCCAGTATAAACCTCTAATGGGTCTCCATGCAGGTCTGAAAATACTGAATACTCATGTGTGAGTGTTGCCTGTATGTGTTCTTATAACTGTTTACCTATGACTTTGTCTATGTACCTAGATCTGTGCATAACTATAAAGTACAATCAGCAAGAAAAACAGAGATAAAAAGCTTTAAAAAAAGAATACAGAAAGCAGTCTGGCAATTTTCACTGAGGTAATGAGTACCACCAATAAAATATGACTCCTCTCTACTTCAGAGGAGCCAGCACATGGTTCCATTCTAAGGTAAAACTCTTCTGCTCACCTCCATTTCCTGTGCCCAGTGGGAGAGGAGCAACATAAGGGCAACTGTATAACACAGTATAATGCTTCTTTCATCTAAAGACTATGGGAATTTGGTTTTTGGAGGACTTGTGTACCTTTGTTTGTTAAGGAAGAAACATTTGGAGGAATACAGCTCATCTGTTCTGCCCTACATAGCCTTCTGCACTGATATTGTATTAATCACCAAGACCATCAAGGTGTTCCCAAACCAAAATCCATGGCCTCACAGGAATATGCAGTCTTTGCTCAGGGCAAGGAGACAGGCTGGCTTACAGTAATGCCCGGAGAGAACTGAGAGAAGGCATTAGGGAAGCTAAGCGTAGATACAAGCAGCAGTGGTGCATAGAGGAACACTTTAAAAATAACAACCCCCGCAGTATGAAAGCCATAACAGACTACAAGAGCAGCACCTCACCGAATAACCATGAGACCACACTTCCTGATGTCCTGAACCAGTTCTTTGCATGCTTCGACAACCACACCAGCAGAGTAGAAACCCAGACAACATCACCATCCAGAGAGGAGCCTGTACTCTCCTTTGAGCTCCACCAGGTGAGATCCACTCTGAGGAAGATTGACATCACCAAGGCAACAGGACCTGACAGGGTGCCAGGCTGCAAACTGAAGCCATGTGTCAACCAACTAGTGGGGGTGTTCACCAATATCATCAACCTGTCCTTGCAGCAGGCCGCAGCTGTCCAATGCCTCAAATATACCACTTTTGTTCCAGAGCCCAAAAATCAAGCAGCCAGTTGCCTCAATGATTATCACCAAGTTGCCCTGACAACAATCATTATGAAGTGCTTTGAGAGGCTTGTTCTGTCCCACATCAAAGCCAGCATTCCCACCGATCTGGACAGCCATGAGTTTGCCTACCGTGGAAACAGATCGATGGAAGACACAATCTCAATTGCACTTGTAAACAACTTGTAAACAAGCTTAGGCAACCTGGGATTAACCACCACACTCTGCTCCTATTCGATTTCCTCACTGATAGACCACAACATATCAGAATGGGCAACTGCACATCATCTACTCTCATCCTAAATACAAGAGGACCACAGGGCTGCATCCTCAGTTCAGCCCTCTTCACCCTGTTCACCCATGACTGCACCCCCACCCGCTCAATGAGATTCAACACCTCATTGAGCGGGTGGGGGTGCAGTCAGTGACTTGGTCATGAACACCACAAAAACAAAGGAGATGGTTGTGGACTATAGAAGGACCAGGAAAACATCACCTCCCCGCCTTCACATAAAAGGTGAGGAAGTCATAAGGGCCAATGACACAAAATTCTTGGGTCTGCACATCACAAAAGATCTGACGTGGACTGTTAACACCTTCTACTTGGTGAAGAAAGCTCAGCAGAGGCTCTTCTTCTTCAGGAAGCTTAAAAAAGCCAAAATCCCTTTTCAGCTCCTAGTGAACTTCTACAGAAGCACAATAGAGAGCATTCTCTGCCACTGTGTTACAGTGTGGTACACCAGCTGCACTGCAGAGAACCAGAGAGACCTGGCTCGGATAGTCAAGACTGCACAGAATTGTGGGAACCCAGCTCCCCAATCTGGACACAGTTTATGCTAGCTGCTTACAAAGGAGGGCAACATCATTATGAATTCAACCCATCCAGGTTACAGACTGTTTGTACCCCTGCCCTCGGGCAAAAGATACAGGGCAATGAACATGCACAATAATAGATAACGAACAGCTTCTTCTCCAGAGCTGTAGCCTGTGTCCCCCCCCCAACATGCACACACATAACCAATTCCACACACCCTAAAAGCTGCAAAAGACTAAAGACTGTAATATCCAACCTGTTTCCCACCCCATTTCGCCTCAAGTTGCTGCTAATGCATTTAGCACCTTACATCTTACTGACATTAACTAGTACATTACATTGCACTGCTTTGCAGCGTTTCGCATCAGGTGAACACCGCTGAATGCATATGCCATTGTATATATTTGCTGTTCGATTTATTGTTGTTGCTTATATTTATATTTATACTGTAACTATCTTGTTTTATTCTGATTCTTTTATTGCTGCTGGTTGCAGCAACTAAACTAACTAAAGTATCTATCTATCTATCTATCTTTCATTCTGCAGGTTAAGTACTGGAAATGCATGTTTTATTAGATACCAGGGATGCAGTGTGATATACAGCAAAATGTGTGCCTGCAAATGCAGGGTATAGCTTTCAAAGGGCTGTTATGCATACAGTATGTTAAAGATATAGTCAACTATAAGGACATATTGCTAGTTTTTGATGATGATTCATAAAATGATGTGGTGAAAATATAACAGCAGAATTAGGAAGAGAGCTAGTTGATTCGACCAATTAGTCAAACAGACTCTGTCTTGATTCATGCATCCATCTAGAAAACACTGCAGTATAGTTAATGCTAACTATAGCATTTCTTTACTTTTTATATTTCCAGTGGCAAAGCAACATTTAAGCTGCAGTCAGCAGGATTTTTATCTAGCATTATATGTATTCATGTGTCAGCCAAAATAACAAAGTGACGCTAACAAATAATACCCCATTCTCCCTGACTGGAATATTATATATTCAGCTTGTTTGACACAACTCTCGCATTCACTACTGACTCACTGAAGCCACTTTACACAATTCATGTGTATTCAAAAACATATAATTGATCAAACGTTGCATTTTTTGTTACAATTTGTCCGTGCGACAGTTTGAACTTGCTCAGTCAAGAAGACTCAATGCAAACATACAAACTTAATCTTTCCCAAGCAATCCTCAAAACATTCCTTGGACACTGTTGGTAGGCACTAACCACTGCAGATCAGGAACATCCAACCACACCTACAGTCTGGGAGATGCTCTTGCTCAGTCATCAGCCATCACAGTTTGGCCCTTGTCAAAGTCTCCCAGATCCTTACACTTGCCCATTTTCCTGCTTCCAACACATTGACTTCAATGACTGAATGTTCACTTACTGCCTAATATACCCCCCACACTGACAGGTGCCACTGTAACGAGGTGATCAGTGTTATTCACTTCACATGTCAGTGGTCATAATGCTATGGCTGATCGGTGTACGTATGTCACATCTGTACAGCTCAACACAACTTACCCTCCAAACTACAGTGCCACCAGAACCCAGCTACACACAACTACTTTATTCCTGTCTTAGGGCTGCCATGATGTCGCTACAAAATTATCATGGCCAAAAAAAAATTCACGACAACAGTATTATCACAATATCTACAGAGGTTTGAAAAACTAAATAATGCTATCAGTGAAATTCCACTTTAACTTTATTGGGTATGCTGTCTTTTTTTTGCCAAATGAATTGCACTCAAAATCTGAGTGTAGGGAGGAGGAGAGAAAGTCTGTAACAAAAGGAACTGTTACATTTATTGAATAGTAAAAAAAAAAATAATAATAATCCATATAGCCTAACATCTGCCATCAACATAATGACAACTTGAACAAAGTTGCCTGCAGGGAGCAGGGGACACAGAGATAGTTATTGGCTCTAGATTATTTATGATATTATAATATGTGTATTATTAACATAATGTGAGTATTTCATTTTTTAAATATTATGATTATTGTCATTACAGGTATATCGCGACACCCCTACTCTGTGTGAACACCCTGAAATAAATGTAGCAGGAGGCACAGTTGAAAACAAACTCTAAAGTGGACTTACATGCAGCCAATGAAAAATAGACTTTTGGCCAATTGTGGCACTACAGTAATGTTTAATAATGTACATTGTTCTTGTTAAATAAACTATGAGAGTTGAAGTAGAGTTGAAATAAGAAAGAACTTTGACTATACCCAGGTATGAAATGAAATCTTAGAGAGCTGCTTTTTACAAAAATAGGATGGCAATATGTTTAATGAAACGTTTGAGCTTTTTGCCCAAAATAACTTGATATTACAAAATATACAAATAAATAATGCTTGGGTGCATGCCCAGACCTAATGCATACTGTGAAAATAGGTGTGGAATCTGGAGGAATTTAAATAGCCCCAAGTGTAATACAGCTTCCTCACAAACTTAGGTGATAGCAGGGAGAACCCTGATCTCTGACAAATACCAGATAAGAGCTATGTGCTGAGCCAGCTCAAACTTATCTGACTTACTCTTTCGCATTTGTACACATACACAGAGAAGCACACACACGTGCACACTGGCATCACTTTCTTAACCTTAAGCAAATCCAGGCCTAACTTTACTTAAACACAACTTCAATTGTCAGTTTGGCTCTGGTCTGGGTGTAGAGAATACAGCTAAAAACCTATCTGCAGTTCTATTTGAGCTCCTTCACAAATGACAAACTAGATCTTATTGAAGAAATCATTTTAATTGTTTATTTTTTGTATTTCAGATGATGTAGCTAAAAACCTGATGTAAATTCCTCCTTAACCTCATACACAGACACACACAAGGCTCCACATGCACCTATGTGTGTGCCATAGACTTCCATATTTGTAGAAAAATGTTCAAAAACACATTGGTGAAACTCACTGCTGCACTTGTTGACATGTTTCTTTATTACAAAACATGATACCAGTGTATATGTTGCCCCAAAATCTTCAAACAACCAGAACGTTTTACAGCATTTGAAGCATACATCTATGGTCTGAAGTAAAGCAAGACTTAACTGTGCATGTGAGAGATCTTCATGGAATCACGAGGCACTAGCAGACTAAACAAAGGACATGTCAGTGCAGTGGTGTGCAAATTTTGCAGTAAGTACTAAATAATAATAATAATGGATGATTCCATTCATATGTATTAAAGGTAAAAGTGACGAAGCCTGTTTGAAAATGTGAGTAGAAAGTACAGATATTTGTGTTAAAATGTAGGGACTAAAAGTATAATGTCAGAAAAATAAATACTCAAGTAGAGTACAAATACCAGAATAATTTACTTAAATACGGTAACAAAGTATTTGTACTTCTTTACTTTCCACCTCTGATCAGCATCCATCCCTATTTGTAACACAAAAACAGAAGACTGTCCAGTTTGGATCGAATATGTATAACAGAGGTTGATCTATTTTAATGTGAAACAAAGAGTGGACAGAAGAGGTTCCAGAGGTCCAGTTTTATATATGACAAAATGAGATTATAAGATTGTGATCTAGGGCAGTGGTCAAGCTTTTCAGGGAAATTTCTGTGAAAAATATCATTTGAAGACTGTCCATTTGGAATACTTGACTATACTACTTCTTAAGTGTCATAAAAGTTCCCAAACGTACATTTGATTACAAGAGTAACCCTGGTTATCTGAGTGTCCAAGTGTTTGTCTGCTGCATAAATGTGTGTGTTTGCAGTGGTTGCAGACAGTGAGCAAACAAGTGGAATAACTAGCAGGGGGCAAAGTCTGAATGCAGGCACCTTTCAAAGGCACTCTATCTAATCTACAACTTTATCATGGTTCAAAAACACACAGATAGCAGGGACACAGCATGCAGGAAAAAACAAATTACAGCCTTCTTGAATAGATCAGTGCTGCTTCTCTGAACATAGACTGTTTTTCCTTTCCCTCCCATCCATAAATTGCCTAAACTGAACTCTCTCTTTGCATATTTAACACATATTTATGTCCCTATAAAACCTTCCTCTCTCCTGTGAAAACAGTACATTGGTTCTTTTAAACAAAGTGGTGATATCAAGGACACTCAATCTAATAAGGTAAAAAACTGAACCATTTGCTGTTCCTGTGTAAAGGATGAAAACTTTCCAACACAAATTTATGTCAACAGGAGTAAAACAAGACATCCAAGCAGTTTTCGGTCCATCCAACGCTTTCTGGATTATGATCAGTATTTTGCTAAATAGTGCTTAGTATACTTTTTTATCTGTAACAACTCCAGTATAGAGAACACCCTCTTCGGTGTTCTTGTGACACACTAATGTGGAGCACTTTGTACATCTCTTCAAAGTCTACAAACACCAGGGAAAGTCAGTTATCGGCAGCTGTTGTCACATCGGAAGTTGATAGCCCTGATTACACTGTAGTGTAGATCAACATATAGAACAGTTTACACTATAGGTGCTAGAAACACTATTTAACTGCACATTCTGTTGGATAATGCACTGTATCAATCTTGTTTTTCATTTTCATCCACCAATCCAAACATTGGTCAGATTGAAGTTAAAATGTGCATAGGTCATGAAGGAGCAAGAAGGTTCTAGCAGATTAATTTGTCTTCATGTCTCCATATAATGACTGATTTCTCTTTTGACTCACTAATTATTTGAATCATTTTATATAAGATAAAGACAGCTGGTTTTACTCACCTCCATCCACAGCCTGGCCATGTACAGGCAAAGGGCTTTTCCCCCGTGTGCCTCCTTAGATGGGCTTTAAGGTGGCTACTCTTGGTGTACATTTTATTACAGCCAGGAAAAGAGCACTTGTGCATTTTAATAAGATCTGCTACCGCACTCTTCTGGTACCTCTGACCTCCCGTGAGAATCCCTGCTGTTGAACCTCTACATTCGCCAAGCCCAATCGGCTTAGCTGCAATGGGCACCGGTGCAATCCGGACAAATCTGGAAGAAGTGGTGGTTCCGGTTTTGCTCAAGCTACTAATGTTTGCTGGGGAAAGCAGCTGAGGCACCAAGGCAAAGGTTTGCCCCTGGATATTGACCAGGAGCTGCGCAATTTTAATGTCTGATGTGGCCTGGGTTATTTGGGATTGGGTTTGCTGGGGTTGACTTTGCTGGATGGCAGCATCTGATATGGCACTGGGGCTGGGTTCTTGTTTGATCTGTATGGGCTGGATGTGTAGGATGACCGGCACACTGGAGGAAACACTGGTACCTTCTGATGAGGCTGAAGGTGACCCACAGTCCTCCAGTTTAATGCCATCAGCTCCATAACTAGTCGAAGCAGAACTAGTTATACAGCTAGAATCCACTGTTGATGGTGAGCAGTCCATGTCAGATGCACATGATGCAGGTTTGGTCTCTGAGCAGGGGGACAGTGGAGAATGAGCCACAGGCACAGTCTGATCTGAGATGTCTGATAGTGATGCACATTTTTCTGCTAAGGACCTTGAACTTTGTGCCTCAGCATACTTTGAGGTTGGTGACATTGCTTCATCGCTCCCTTCCTCTTCCTTCTCCATTGCCACCACCATGTTTTCCTCTAGAAATTCCTCAATCTCCTCCAGGGTGGGCTGAAAGAGGAGTGCTGCAGGGTCCTGCAGCTCATCCAGGAGGACGGGGAATTCGTAACAGTCCTCTTTGGCCTGCTGATGGAGGAGACTCAGCCGTTGTTCCCTCTTGGACTCCCAGGCCAGGCCCATGGGTAAAAGAGGGGCAGATGGGAAGGAAGAGGTTGGTGGGGAGGCTAAGGATAAAGATGAAGATAGAGGAGAAGACTGAGAGCTGCTGCTGGCATTAGAGCTTAATGAGGTGGTGATGGAGGCCTGTGGGAGGACAAGGTCCAGCAGACTGTCTTGACCCTCTCCTCCAGAAGAGCTATAGTTCCTGCTGCTACTGCTTTCATAGCTGGAGCCAAGAATGTGGCGCGACGTTGGCGACAAGGACTCGGGGCTGGAGCAGAGGGAGGAACGAGGGCTGGAGGAGTCGCTGAGGTCATCCTCAGAAAGACAAGATGGTGAGGAGAGCTTCACCCCTCGGTAGAGGTGGTGGTGGTGATCGTAGATGCATGCATCAGTTACCATAATACCCGGTGACAGGCCACCATTGGTGTGGCAACAGAGACAGTTATGTTCAGACTCTGGGGAGCCGGTATAATACAGGAAGGTCTCCTCACCAAGTGGCAAGTGATCCACCATTCCTGTGCGGATGAATGACAGCTAAACTCTGCTCTGCTCTGAAGATCAAGCTGCTCTGATCGAGATCGGCTGAATGTTGAGGTCAGACTTTTTCTTCCTCCTGTGGAAGACAAATGATTGTATTCATCAATTATGAACAATGACACAAATGAAAGAAATATATGGTTGAACGTGAGTAAATGTCAGCCCAAGCAGCAATGCTTTGTATAAAAAGAGATTTTGTCCATCAAGTGCTGAGTAGTGCTTGTTCATGAGGTGTGTAGCTGATGTCACAGCTGCATACTGGAAAATCAACCACATGTGTGCACACAGTGCAGCTGCTGGTGAGCACTTCAAACTGACCACGTGGCCACGAGGTTCCTATTTCTCACCACTCCAAACATTAAAGTCAAAGAGTTCTGCTGTCATTTAAAAAATTGTTCCTATTTATTTGCCTCTTGTGGTTCATATTACAGCTTAATCTGTCTGACAAAACAATGGCAATGCTACAAAACTTTAAGATACTCATATGTGATATAGTATATGCTTTCAGAAATTAGGAATACTGAACACAGTTAAAACCTTACAGTGAAAGGTGAAAGGTGTAGTCATTTGGTAAAAGTCCAGCAGATTTCACTGGGATGATAATGTTTCTACTTATACCCACCCCAAACAATGCACCACATCTATATTTACATGGATTAAACATGCTTGTCATCATCAAACGACCCTGAAAGCAGTAAGTGATGATAAAATATTTAAATCCCTTTTAAAACCTTGAAAGGTTACACGTGTGTTGCTTGAAAAAAAAAATAGAGTGAAAACAAAACGACTGTGCGCCCTCTTCTGTAAAGATAAATAGCAGAACCCCCCCGACTTCCAAAGTGAAGTCTGGAGGTCACAGAGATTTCAGGTGGTCCCCCCAAAATAATTAATGTAATATGATTATCACTCCAGTGACGTTGAGTTAGGCTATGACAGTAACAGGACGTTAAAAGCGATCGGTTTTCTTATGATGTTGCACCGATGTTGTTTCCGCAGTGTGGTTTTATAATCTGAAATACTGTGTGACAACATCATATGCCATTGAGGAACTGAGGCTTTCTGCTACTAGCAGTAAACTTATGGAATAAAAGTTTGTCAAGATAGTTTTGGAACACCTCGGCCTGGACAAGTTTTAAGTCATTTGCCCTTTAGTAGTCCTGCCACTCGGACACACCAGAAATGCTTTGACAACATGATGCGCCCCCGGGCTTCACCACGCCGCAAGGATAATCACTTATGAAGTTTAATTCGGGATTTATGACATGTTTAACACTTCAGACTGTGAATTTGTAAATTACAAGTCCCGTTATTAGATTTACATGGTATATTACATGGTATACAACTCAATGCGCCCCAGTGCGGATTGTATAAAGACTTCCTATTGTTTGTGCCATAGCGTATGCATAAATCGTATGCATAAACAGCGTAATGCATGAAGCATAGTGTCTCTATAAGCTCGCATTTGTGTAGTGTGGCTAGATATACCTCCTCTCCATACACTCACCAGCATTCATGCTTCCCACTGCTCTCCACAATCACACAGGAAATACACAGGCACACATAAAGACGGACTTTTCAGTCAACTATAAAAACCACAGCAGCGTCCCTGCCTCGTCACACTCACCTGTATATGCGAGGAATCAAAAAATCCGCTCCTCTGAGCTTTCCTTGACGAATCTATCAGTGCGTAATAGTGCGTAATGGCAATATAACTCCACGGCAAGGTCTTCGCATAGTTGTACGCCTCCTCTCTCTCTCTCTCTCTCTCTCTCTCTCTCTCTCCCTCTCTTTCTCTCTCAGACACACACACAAATGGGTACACACTATCACTGCCTCTCCAGAGGACTGGGAGTTCGCTTTACCATCCCATAATCGAGCAGGGTATGTTAAACAAGTCAAATTAGGGGGTTGGCTCATGAAGGCTCGTCTGCTCGGAGCGCAGCGATTGGCTCTTGGTAAACGGAGGCCGGACTTCTGGTCTGGCGTCAATGTAGAAAGGAGTGTGTGTGTGGCCTGGTATTACTCCTGTTGTGAGGACGTAAATCGGTTTACATAGTCAATTGGGGGGACTGGACGTCCTTATGGGGACAAAAAGCAGGTCGCCAAAACACAAATCATTACATTTTAAAGTGATGACTTGGTTTTAAAGTTAGAGTGAGATTAGTCCCGGGGTAAGGGTTAGGCAAGTAGTGGTTATGATTAATGGTTAGAGTAGGCTTCCAGGAAAAGAATGTAAATCAATGCAATGTCCCCTGAAGTGATGGAAACAAAGTGTGCGCATGTGTGTGAAAAACGTGAGGTAAGGAGGGAGGCTGTGTGATAGTAAGACACACCCATTAAAACCATTTAACTCCCCTAGAATAACTTAGATAGGTCATGCAGGATTTTTTTTTACGTGGTGTTGATTTTGCAACTTGTACAGTAGTCCCATTACACTTTCCAGTGAATGTATTGCACGGGTTTCTTAATGCCCTGGGTTAAATTGTTCCTATTATTTTCAAAAGAGTTTCATGGTTTTCTGAGGTAATACCAATCAATCATGTACATTGGCTCTATAGGAATAAATAATTTTAACCCTCCTGTTATGTTGCGGGTCAAAATGACCCACGAACATAACTGCTTTAAATGAGACAAATATTTGATATAAAGAAATGAACATAACAGGAGGGAACCCTCCTGTTATGTTCATTTCTCAGGTGATGCCTGCTCAGCAGTTATGTTCGTGGGTCAATTTGACCTGCAACATAACAGGAGGGTTAATATATTATCATAGAAACCTAGTACATTTAGAGACAAGAAGAAGGAGGAGGTCTGCAACAGAATCAGTCTAGGATTAAGAGAAAGACACAGAGGCAGCCTAAATCCACAGAAGAAGTGTTGCAAGTTCTCCAAGATGCAGGGGTAATTTACATCTAGTATTTATGACAATGGTGTAAAAGTCATTTACACACAGCAACTAGGGGTACTAATTTGTACTTATTGGGCCTTTAAAATGTAACTTTTGAAAATGTCCTTGTTAAAATGCATTTTAGCTGCTAAGATACATGTAAAAGAATAATATCACTGGTGAGGAAAATACAAATCTAAATAAAGGAAATCAACATTTTGATGCACAAGAGTCCTCTCTGATGCTTAGAAAGTACACTGAGGTCTTTGCCTGTTACAGATGATCATGGCTGAATATGTGACTGAGTGATTGAGTGTGTTTACATGCCACCTAATAGCATCAGTAATAGGTTTTGCTTTCTCTCCAGCCAAACAGCCCTCATATAAACACCTTTGCTGGGCTCAAGTTACTTTACTGGCTCTGGCCTAATTTGATTTGCCTGCGTAGGTTAGATTACCTTTCAGTGTGTTTGGATAAATGACCTACTTCCAGCTTGCTTGTTAACATCAAGAGTGTTTCAGTGTGTACTTGTATACAGTACACAGGCAGTGGTTGTTATTCTGTGTAAAAGGATACACAGTGTTACACTGAGGACGTCTGTTTTACATGACTCCAACTGAATAATCATTTGAACTATTATTGCTACACTCAGTGGTGGAAGAAGTACTCAGATTCCTTACTTACAGTATTATTACTGATGGATTATTGTTTTCCTCATACTTAAATGTGTGTCAGTGTATGTAGGCAAAAGGCAAAGATACTTAATCCATTAAATTGGATGAGACTTGCCAGTGTAAGTAAAAGCAAACTGTTTAAGAAGGGCATTTGACACAGAAGAGGTGTTTATACGCGTGAGTGTTTGTGTTGGTGACTATGGTGGTGATTGGGTGGTGGGGTGAAAGGGTTGAGGTTGTTTACAGCTTTATTAAAAACTCATTGCATAATTCTCTGAGGGAATCTTTGTTCCCGACAACAAGATGGATTTTTGCAAATATTTCACGCTGCTGTTGGTACTGTGGGCATTTTAGGAGACTTTGTGAAAATAGGTGCCTGTGTGTGTGTTTTTTGGGGGGGAGTGTACATGACAAAAACAGCAACATTAGGCAAAGGGTGAAGTGTCAGGTAATAAATTTTATCTCCCACAAAAACACTTTTTTGGATAGGAAAGGTGAAACATACGAGCTCTGTTTTTTCCACCGCACATTGATCATTTAGTAGTACCAGCTAAAGCCAGTTTACATGCAGTTCAGAAGAGGAGAAGAATGTGCAAACTCACTAATATGTTACATTTTATATGTATATTTTCCATTGTATTGTCTTTTTTTTACCAGCTTGCCCAAAATAGACTGGAAGTTTAGAAAATATATACTCATAGTTTCCTTTCAGTGCTTCTTGTGAGAACATAGGCTTTGTTGATGGAATCATCTGTGATTGTCACAACACTGAAATGCACCAAGAAACACACATTTTGCCCATTTCACTTTTGGCACACTGGAAGCAGTACCAGAGGAAATAAATCACTTTGATCTATTAAGGCCATCTGGGGTTTACATAATATGCATATGTGCAGTAAAGGTGTTTGAGAGTTTGAGTAGAGCAGCCGAAACCAATTAGTTTATGGGGCAGAGAAAATAATCTTTGTGGATGTCAGGAGTCTCTGTTAGTAATCACCATGAGCCCTGCATTTCCTCAAATAGAACATCAAATTACACTTAAGAATATATCATGGGGTTGGTCACAGAGGTAACTTCAGTAAAGCCCAGCCTTACAAGATACCAGGACTGGCTAATATACTGAACAAGCCGACTACTGATAAGAGCAAAGATGTAATCAATGTGGGTAAACAGAGAAGTGTGGACTGGATGCAGTGAACAGCAGCGACCCTGTTTCTCTTTAAGAACACTGCAACCAGCAACCTCACATGACCTCTGTGTTATTTCAGGTCAACTGAGAGAGGCTGAGATTTTCTTAAATGAGCCATGGTCCATTTTATATGTGAGGAAAGTAAACACATTAGAAATGAGTCACTTTAATTCCAAATCTTATCTCTGATAAAATTACACAGCGGAAACAGAAACAAACAAGTGCAGGCCTTTTTCACAGCAGGCGTTTTGACTTGTAACAGTAGGAAAAGTATGAAGAAGAAGGTGTTACTTCTGTTCCCAGCAAGGCATGATTGTGTGACAAAGAAGCAGCATACACCACACCAGGACCCTGATCCTGCAGCAACCACCTGTGCATCACTCTCAGAAAACAAAGGTTTACATCTGTGGCTTTTTTTAGAAAAGCAGTAATGTAGAAGCAATTTAACTTGTATTGGTAGTGTTAGTGTGTTAACATGGTAGAAGTATCAATAGTTTTAGTAGAGGCATTAGCAGCAGTTGTAGTACCAGTAACAGTCGCAATTGTTGCAGCAGTAGTAGTAGTGGTGGTGGTAATGGCAGTGGGAACTGTAGTAGCAACAGTAGTGGTAGTAGCACCAATTGTAGTAATAGTTCCAATAGTAATGGTAATGGTAGTAGTCAAATTGTCAGTAGCGTCACACTAGTAATAGTAGCAGTAGTAGGACAGTAATGGCCTAATATTCATGGTAGCTGTTACAACATCAGTAGTAGTCTACTTTTCTAATAGTGGCAATAGTAATATTAATAGCAGTGCAGAAGTGGTGTTGTACTGTATCAGCAGTATAGCAATGGCAGCTGCATATAGTAGGAAAAGTAGTACAATAAGACTAGCAGTGTTTGTATAGCCACAGAAGTAAGTGATAGGGGTGTCAGTATAGCCAGTGGTGGAAAGTAACTAAATACATTTACTGTAACATTGTACTTAAGTACATTTTTGAGGTATCTGTACTGTACTTGAGTAGTATTTTGTACTACTTCATACTTTGAGTTCAATACATTTTAGAGGCAAATACTGTACTTTTTACTCCATTACATTTATTTTTTTTTAATAACTTTAGTTACTTTTCATAACCAGATTAATACAAAGAGTGTGATAACCACTTTATTTGTCTCTGGTGGAAAATTCACAAGCTACCCAGCAGTATGTAATGTACTTCAAATTATAAGCATATAAGCTACTTGAAAGCTAACTAGCTCCCCATTTACCAGCTGCAACATTAAAGGTACAGAAACATTCATACATTGTACCATGCAGCAAATAACCTTTGTGGACACTTGTACACTTACACAGGAAACTGTGTATTGATAATAATGTGTCATAACTGTGTTTGTCTGTGTGTTTAAACTCTGTAAACCACAAATCTGCGCTTGATTCCTAGACCAGCTTATTACAGGCATATCAACATTCACATACATGCTGGTTGACAAGTGTCAGGACACGGCAGTGCAGAAGTGCCATACATACATCAGTCCATTTCTACAGCCTATCCAGGTCTGAACTGTATTACCAGCAGACAAACGAAGGAAGCCCAGACTTCCTTCTCCTCCTCCTTCCACCTCCAGAGGTGATCTCAGGCCAAACAGGATTTAAAATCCTTCATCTTATTTCTGTTCAGCAACCGGAAAGTGTCACTATCAGACTTTATCAGAATTTAGCTAATTTGCTAACTAGTAACTAAAGTTACAGTAAATCTATGAGTTGATTGCACATACATTATATGAAGAATATGATATGGGAGGATGTCAAGCAGCTTCCAGATGCTTCTACACAGACTTTGGCCACATGAACAACTCTCCAGACAAAGACCTAGAAAGAGGACTGACTACATAAACACACAAGACACAACACAATCGCACCATTCATACACCACATATAGGAGTAGGTGGCAAATGTGTGCATTATAATGAGCGAGTGTTACAGTAGTTTGTGGTTCCCGGTGCCAGAT